TGCACAGAGTTGAGAAAAAATCTCTTTTATCAGACCTGCACTCATTAGCCACCCAAAGCGACTTCCCTCTGTACCCAGATTCAGAACATATAGTCTCAAGTCATATGTTTGAACCACAATATCTAGCCGACACATTTTACTGAGATCATTTAACTGGTGGCTGAATTCATCGTTGGTCGTGTCCGAGCTCAAATGGGTTGGTAAGTAAACGGAAATTAGAGTCTCATAACTTAAACGACTGTTAATGGTGATCAAATCGGCTTATATCTGCCCTTGCTTTTAATGTGATATTTACAATTACTGTACAAATTGTTAATTCATAATTTTTACTAGATCTATTTCAGTTGGCATTATCTTCATTTTTGTTGGCTATGGTCAGTCAATTTATTGCTCACGAAAGACAAATTTGTCATCCTGTTGTAAACAATATCAAATATTATGCCGGTTCAGTGGTCTAATGCTTAAGCGTTTGCATGCAAGCCTGATAGGTCCTGGGTTCGAATCTCTCAAGGCAAGATCGTGGATGCGCACTGCTGAGGAGTCTCACAGTAGGACCATACGGCCATCCAGTGCTTCTAGGTTTTCCATAGTGGTCTCGGTTCAATTGACTAATGATCTCAACTATTAAAATTATAAATATTATTTATTGAATAGAATCATTAAAGTGTATCTATTCTAAAATTTCGAAAAGTAAATTACATATGGATTAAATTTATTTCATTAATGTAATAATAATAACAATTCATTATTACCACTCTTGTAATCAGATTTTTAATTGAATGATGCTTGTCGGTTTATAACCAGTATGAACTTGATTCATACTGACACGTTCATAAGATAATATCAATATAATTAAGAATAAATTTGAATGTTTATAATAACTTTTTTTCAACTTATCAATCAAACGATATCATACTAGACTTAAATTCATTGTTTCTTTATAGCTCAAGAATAGTACATGAAATATAAGAATGTAGAAGTGTATAATACAACAATGTTGTTATGTACTTGATCAATTACAAAAGAGATCCTGTAATCATGTTCAAGTAACTAAATTACAAAGTTATTGAAAACAAGCTCCTGAGCTATCTTTGTATGAGGCTGATGTACACACATTTCAATTCCAGCAACTGAATCTGCAAACTTAAACATTTTTTGGAGGAGAAAGTGATACATTAGGATACTCAGGCATAATACATTTTCTAATGAACGAGACATACTCAACTGATTAAAAATGTAGTTCCATATTTTAATGAAGATAGATATACATGTAAATAAGTACTCACATTCTATTTTCAGATCTTTTAAATAAAGTGTTCTTCCTACTTTTAGTTTTATAACTGAAATAGCTAGTTGGGCTCGAATATAGGAATCTTTCACATCAGTGTTAGGGTCGGAAGACATCACAATGCAACAGAAACATCTGAATTTTTTGTTTTGAATATTGATTTTGAATGGTACATTAACTATCATCTGAAGTTATGGAGAATATTAATAGCTCATAGGTAGGTACTTGGTGGTATTATACTCTTTAAAACTATATCATCCTCCTGGAGAACATCATCGGCACCTAGGAGTAAATTTATATTTACTTCCAATATTTTATCCTGTTCTTCCATATATGATCAGAAAAAAATGACTTAGTTGTGAAATTTGAATGTCTTCAACTTGGCATAAATGTTAACACGAAGACGATTAAACTTGTACTCAACAGTGATAAGCAACAATTCGTGTCAACATGTAGACACTATGAAACATTTTTAAAGGATGCTCATTAGCCAATAGAGATTTTTCAAAATACAAAGAACTGGAATGTAAGAGAAAACCAATTTTTCATATTGTTTCACTGAAATTAACAGGAAGCTCACAATATTCTCAACATTATTCGTGTAATTGTGAAAGAAACATCAATTATTAACTTAAAATTCTGTAAAGTAAGCTTTCTAAAATAGTTTACAATCTAAATAGAGATGTCTGCCTTCATTTGTATCTTTTAAAATCACTCTGTAAAAGAATTCTAAGCACATAATATATATCAAATGGGTTTTGTGGAGATTGCAGTAATTTCAATGGTTAAGATCATGAGTCAGTCGAAGCTAGACCACCATGGAAAACCTGGAAGTACTGGACGGCCGTTTGGTCTTAGTATGGGACTCAGCACTGCGCATCCACGACCTCGCCCCCTACGAGACTCGAACCCAGGACCTATCAGTCTCGCGCGCGAGCGCTTAACCATTAGACCACTGAGCCGGCATCCAACGGTGTTAATGTCTAACTTCAACTGATACACGAAAATGAGCGACACATTCACCATTGTCTTCAGTGAGTTGACATCCCACAACAGACCTGGTTGAACTCCACTGGTCACTACTTTTCACTAGGACTCCAGGATATACCTCGTGAAGCCAGTCACTAGTGAGCATATGTTGATTAATATCAGATGGGTTTTGTGGAGATTGTAATAATTTCAATGGTTAAGTGCGCGAAACCAGTAGGTCCTGGGTTCGAATCTTGCAGAGGGCGAGGTCGTGGATGCGCACTGCTGAGGAGTCCCACAATAGAACGAAACGGCCTGCTTCCAGGTTTTCCATGGTGGTCTAGCTTCAACTGACTCATGATTTTAACATAATATATATCTTAAGCTAGTAACAATCAATTCCAGTTTTACCAGTCAACGATATTTTCAAACTTTAACCGAAAACGCTTCGAAGTGTTTACACTTGATATACACCTAAGTTCATAATCCACTGATAATTGGACATTTTAAAGTACAGGTTTAATGAAAACAGACAATATTCTGATTTGTAATTGAATGATAGTCTAACGTTACCAACCAAATGCTGCATTGCGATCTTATCCTCCGTTTCTAGTTTAGTTGACCTTTTATTTTTATATATAAATGTTCTTAACAAGTAAATAATGTATGGTCAGATTATTCGAAACGTATTGCGCTAATATATCACATAGTTCTTTGTCTTCTTATTACGCTATTGAAATTTATCAAGGGGACTAATTGCTTCAAATTTCTTAAAAGAAGACTCCCTGTACATCATATTAAAAGGCTGGATGAACTTGTCAACCTTAAGTGTGAAATTGTATCGGAACGAGTGAAACTGAGTGTTTATAAATCTTGTTTGTCGAGTCACATATCCTCAAATCAACTTTATAGGAATTGATGTTCAAGTAAAACACAACCGAATATTTAAAATCTTGTTCGACTGTTGAAATCTTATGCAGATAATTGCCAAGATAAACTGATCAATCTAATGAAATTACACTCTCAAGCATTGTCTATATTGATAGGAATATCTATAGTATGCCATATTAAATTCATCCACTATTGCAGTACGGTGATTTTCAAAACAAAGGAAAGGATAGGAAAAAAGTTTCAACAATCTTGAGGTACTATTGATAAGTATATCACTAATTTATCTTCCATTGTATTATCTGCTCGTGAAAAGGAAACGCCTTCTCTTGGTTTTAATTTCTCTGTCCCTATAACGTAAATGTCTGAGTTGGAGATAAATGGTGAATTTGATAATATTTATGATCAACTTGTAGTGAACAGAACACGGATGGGGACGATCGAATGTATTTAAAACAAAATTACAGAACTTGTTAATAAAATCTAACAATCAAACAGTAAATACGTAATTTGCAAAACGTCCATCATTTGTCTCATAATAACTCAGACTTCATTGTTCTTGCATTTTCATACAAATTGCATTCTGTTTCCATTCTTCACTGTTCGATTCTCTTGTCTCTCAGCTTCCAGACCTTCTGTTCACGACTAACATCATCTACAACTTATGTCAATAAAAGTAGCACACACGACAAACTAAGTACGCTAACCCTATCTCTTTTAATCATCAAAGCTGGGGTAAAACTAAATTGGTGGATATAATGTACCAATTTCTTAATCGTGAACCAAAGCAGAGAAGCATATTAACTTCTCAGCATTTTAAATCACTAAAAGAAGTACGAACAAACCCTGATATTGGCTTGTTGAAACCTGATAAAAGATCAGGCGTGGTTATCATAAACAAATGTGAATATAAAAATAAGATATTATCCGTCCTCAGTGATGACAGTAAATTTATGGCTGATGCCGAATTTGGAGGTATTAGCAAACTAGAGGTAAGAATAAATTCAAACCTAGTAAAACTGCTGCACACGGATATCACTGGTAGAAATGAATTTAAATTTCTGAAACGTATTGTTTCTGAGTATCCTTATTTACATGGATTACCTGCAATTCACCAACCAAACATTCGTTTACTCTCAATTTTATCACTGTATCGATCACCTACAAATAACCTAGCTAAATTACTGGATCCTATCCGAACACGATTATGTAAATATTCTGTGAAGGAATCTTTTTAACTGATCGATCATTTAGGTGATATTAATATCAAGGGAAAGATAATGTGTTCGTTTGACGTGGATTCCTTGTTAACAAATGTACCTTTGAAAATTACTATTGATATATTATGTGACCACATATCTTTAAACAAGCATAAAATACCTGTTCCTTTAAAAATTCTTAAAGATTTACTATTATTATTTACTGACAAAGTCCAGTTCATATTTGAAAGTGAATACTTTCGCCAGATCGATGGGGTTGCTATTGGTAGTCTGTTAGGACCATTATTAGTTAATATGTTCATGGCACATGTTGAGAATTCAGCTGAAGATCTAATCGAATACATGTCATTTTATAAGATATATGTGGACGATATCTTAGTCATCTGGGAAAGAAAGGAGGATATGAATTGTTTATTGAATAAACGTAGAACTCTCCAAAACCACATCAGTCTCTCATGCAAAGAGGAGAAGAACAACCGGCTTCCCCTCCAAGATATACTTCTAAGTAGACGAGAAGATGGCTCAATCAAACCATCTATTTTTGGAGAACTAAGGTGAACAAGTCAATACTTTAGTTATTTTAGACCTTGCCCAGTGCAATACAAACGGAGTTTGATATGATGCCTGTTTAACAGGCTTGATCGTATTTGCACAAATGATGTTGTTGTTGTTTTTCTTCTTCTTCTTCTTCTTCTTATTATTATTATTATTATTATTATTATTATTATTGTTGTTGTTGTTGTTGTTGTTGTTGTTGTTGTTGTTGTTGTTGTTGTTGTTGTTGTTGTTGTTGTTGTTGTTGTTGTTGTTGTTGATGATGATGATGATGATGATGATGATGATGATGATGATGATGATGATGATGATGATGATGATGATGATGATGATGATGATGATGATGATGATGATGATGATGATGATGATGATGATGATGATGATGATGATGATGATGATGATGATGATGATGATGATGATGATGATGATGATGATGATGATGATGATGATGATGATGATGATGATGATGATGATGATGATGATGATGATGATGATGATGATGATGATGATGATGATGATGATGATGATGATGATGATGATGATGATGATGATGATGATGATGATGATGATGATGATGATGATGATGATGATGATGATGATGATGATGATGATGATGATGATGATGATGATGATGATGATGATGATGATGATGATGATGATGATGATGATGATGATGATGATGATGATGATGATGATGATGATGATGATGATGATGATGATGATGATGATGATGATGATGATGATGATGATGATGATGATGATGATGATGATGATGATGATGATGATGATGATGATGATGATGATGATGTTAGTTTGTTAAATAAAACAATAATGGAAAATGTCGATCAACTTTAATCCATAAATGGATGGTATGTTCGTGGTACAGTGAAACCTACTATAGCCTTGGCAGAAAAAAAGACTGTCTACATCACTTTACCATTTCGATGTGATTCATAACAGGCTTTTGTTGGAACAAAGCGTCACGTCAGCAATTAGCAAGAAGTATTACTCAGCAAAAGTCAACATCATGGAAGGAACAAGATCCATAGTTCATCAAAAACCTAAAAGACATGGAAATGACTGCGTCACATCCCACTGTGTTTACCAATTTAAATGTGTGTGGCCACACACAAATGCGGAGAAGTAATCGTGATCTCCAAATCGGGGTGTGTGAACATGTACCTAAATGGCTGCAGAAACAAATAAAATCAAATGACCCAATAATGATAGAGGATAAACATCCATCATCCGCTATTGATAAACACATAATTGAAGCAGGTCACAAGATTACTCTAAGCAAAGATGGATAGTGGCTAGGAGTGGAATTCAGGACGCGTGTTTCGTCTTATTTGAGACTCGTCTGGCAGGCGTACCTGCATCCCAAGTAGATGTGTGGTCAAATTGTTCGAAATGTATTACGCTAATGTATCATATAGTTCTGATACACTTCGTCTTCTTATTACAGTGTCGAAATTTATCAAAGGGACTAATTGGTACAAATCTGAATAAAGATTATTTTGTCATTTAATTTTTGGAAGTCAATCAACAAAAACTCATTATCACAAAAATAAGACTGATTCTTTCGAAAGTCCTATATATTGTATGAGCGACTAAAAGAAAACTACTAATATCCTGAAATCTCACAATGACTGATGCATAACCTGCATGACGTACAATATGGCGAATGAAGTTAACTGCGTAACGTCGTTAAGTATTTCGTTGCACTATTTATTGTTACATCAAAGTTTACTTATTAGTTATTCTTGCCTACAACCGATTTAAAATATTAAGTCACCGAAAATTTTAGTATTTGAATTTATGAGTTAATCTAAGCTAGAAAATCGTTGAAAACCTGAAGGCACTAAACGACCGTTTCGTCCTAGTATGGGACTACTCAGAGGTGTTCATCCATGATCTCTCACAAAAGGTATTCAAACGCAGAGCCTTTGGTCTTGAGTGCGAACGCTTAACTTCTGGACCACTGAGCCGACATTCAACGGTGTTAATGTCTAACTTCGATCTACCCATGGTCTTGCTCTAAGCTTGATCTATTGTGTGAACTGGGTAACTGTCTCCATCAGACAGGGATTGGACTGCACTGATCACGGCTTTTCACTAGAACTCCAAGAAATCTATCTTGAACCAATTCACTAGTGGACAAATGATTATTATTAGAATGAGGATGTGTGGAGATTGTGGAAATTTTAATGGTTAAATTCATGAGTCGATCTTAGCTAGAACGCCACATGTTTTAAAAATCCTCAATAAACTATTATGTTGAAAAATCCAATCCAGTCATCACTTAATATTTTTCCCCGTTTAAACTGACACCATGCTGAGTTTAAATGAATAAGTTATGAGCAAAGTAGATGAAATCGAATAATAGTTAGAAATAAAAGTCAGAAGAAGTGTTTTATCCACTTTGGAGCTAGTCAGCTGTATGTTTCTGTATCTGTATCAATAGTCTAACTAAGTACATTGCACTTCAAACATCAGTGCATCATATACTAGCTTGTGCAACGGATATGAATTTTTAAAGACACATACTTCCCAGTTCTTGGAAATAAAAACAAAAACTGATCAGCCTCTATCACCATACATGCAAGATGATTGGATTGACTCGATACTGCTAATCAGACACATAACGTTTTATTAAAATATGGTATCTAGACTAAGTAGTTCAGTGGATAACGTACAGACCGAGTTTCAATCCAAACGTCACCATTGGATATCCAGGTACACACAGCTGGATCACACTGCGGGGCACTATCAAACTTTATTAACAACTTGTGAATAGAATCCCATATCGAGGCGATCAGCACAGGATGCAGCTATGCTAAAGCAGATAGAAATTACAAAATTGTACTTGCATGATAAATTTTTTAAATAGGATAAATTACAAATTCATTTCTGTTTCATTTGATATCATGAACAGAATCATTTCAAGATAGAGAAAAGTGGTGTTTTACCAGTTACCATTCAGTGGCAAACGAGCGTCACTGATTCGCCTCTACGGTAAATCTTCTAAGGTTTAAATCACTTAGTAGAAATAATTTTGATAGTATGGTTTCATATTTATGTAACGATATTTCACAGCAAACAATGTGTAGATCCAACCGATTTCTAGTGTTGAAGTGATATTGTTTGTCTAGAAAATCTATGAATAATTTTATGGATTACTTACTTACTTACTTACGCCTGTTACTCCTAATGGGGCATAGGCTACCGACCAGCATTCTCCAACCCACTCTGTCCTCCGCCTTCTTTTCGAATTCCATCCAATTCTTGTTCATTTTTCTCATGTCTATTTCCATTTCCCGGCGTAATGTGTTCTTTGGTCTTCCTCTTCTCCTTTGGCCTTGAGGATTCCATGTGAGGGCTTGTCTTGTGACGCAATTCGGTGCTATCCTCAATGTGTGTCTAATCCACTTCCAGTGCTTCTTTCTGATTTCTTCCTCCGCTGAAATCTGGTTTGTTCTCTCCCACGGTAGGTTGTTACTAATAGTGTCCGGACAACGGATCCGAAGTATTTTGCGTAGACATCTGCTAATAAACACCTGTATCTTCTGGATGATGGCTTTTGTAGTTCTCCAGGTTTCCAACCCATACAGTAGAACTGTCTTGACATTTGTATTGAAAATCCTGACCTTGGTGTTGGTTGACAGTTGCCTTGAGTTCCAGATGTTCCTCAGTTGTAAATATGCTGCTCTTGCTTTACCGATCCGCGCCTTCACATCTGCATCAGATCCACCCTGTTCATCAATGATGCTGCCCAGATATGTAAAGGTTTTTACATCTTCCAAGTCTTCTTCGTCAATTGTGACTGGATTGGTGCATGTTGTGTTGTATGGGAGAATCTTGCTTTTCCCTTTGTGTATATTGAGACCTACTGCTGCTAAGGCTACTGCTACACTGTTCGTCTTCTCCTGCATTTGTTGTTGCGTTTGAGATTATTCACTCTAAATACTCTGATCATTCCAATGCTTGTCAAAACAATTTGTATAAAAAGGCAAATAGTCTAAATAAGGAAATAAATGATATGTATTTAATATAAAGAAGAGAATGGGATAAAATTAACAAGTTTTTTAATATTACTCTTAGTATAAAAAATGGATGTAAAGATTATGGATAGTAAGTTCAAGGTTGAAATAACTTTCTTGTAGCTAAGACTTATAAACCTATGACTGACCCAGACAATTTCTACATAGAGAAATAAACGTTGTTTTAAGGTCATTTCTATGCTTATATTGATTACATTTTTGCGTAATCTCTATATTGTAATTTCACTTATGATGCTATTTTGGAGTATTAAGTTTATCATCTTAAAATAAGTAAGATTAATCAAGTATGTTTGAGGTGAATTCGACATTTTTACCTTGGCAAATAAAGATCTAATTAGATTACGTAAAATGTACTGCATATTGACATCAAATTATTAAAATCAATCTGATTGTCTCATAAGATTCCAGAATGTTATAATAAGTGGCAAAACAAAAATTAAATATGATGAATTTAGTATATCTATGACAGATATACGTTTTCACATAAAATAATCTTGTTCGTGTTATTAACTACCTTTTAGAATCTATATAGGTTCTTCAAATTCCTATCAAGTATTCTTGACCGTCAAAGTTCTGAAGTCATACATATACTATCCGTGAGAATAATAATAATAATAATAATAATAATAATAATAATAATAGTAATAATAATAAATTTATATTCTGAAAAATAATAATTACAGAATTCACGCCAGTTTACAGGCATGATCAATTTGATATAAGTAATAACGTTAAACGTGCAGAAAACAAACATGTGATAAAAGAAAGTTTTAAGTATACTAATTCACTAGTTGTTTAAGTAGTACATATATTACAGCGATCCAAAGTATTATCCGGGAATTTTTAATATTTCTCAAATCGACAGCCTGTTGATTTATGAACGGTGTAATTAAGGTCAATTCGTGTGCCAGATCGAAATAATGATAATTATCTACAACTAGAGAAATTAAAACGAAAACAGAGAGCACGGAACAACAAAGAAGTAATTACCAAAATATATTAATCAGATCTACCTAAATGCGTGTGTCATGTGACACAGTGATATAAGTTAAGGTTCAATCAGCTCCAAGAATACGAAGTGCAAATCGTCTCTGTACTGATTGCAGCATTAATTTATCCTTTATGAGCGCACTGCTAAGAATAAACGTGCAGTATTCCAGAAGAGGTCGAGCACAAACTTTGTACATTAGAATACGTGACTCATTGTTGTAAAGATTTCGAGTTATGTAACCTATTAGACGTTGAGACTTAGAGGTCTGTTTTAATATATGTTCTGTAAACGACAAGTCTTGGGAGTATCTAAGTCCTAAGTCTACTACTGTATGTAACTTAGATAACACTTCTCCATTTATGGTAACGTCTAGGTTGAGCGATGTATCGTCGAAGCATATCCATCCACATTTGGCCGTATTAAGCTCCAGTTGCCATTTCAAGCATCACTGTGTTACCTTGTTAAGCTCCATGCTGATGCGATTTCGTATATTTTTCAGGTCATGTGGAGAAAATGAATATACTACTTTAAGATCATCTGCATATAGAAGGGGCTTACCGACACAAAAACTTTCACAAATATCATTAATAAACACTAAAAAGAGCAAAGGACCTAAGACACTACCTTGTATTACTCCACTTCTAATAGGGACAGCGTTAGACAATGAAGAGTTAATTTTGACTATTTGGTATCGATTGCTGAGAAAGGAATCAAGCCAAGCAAGCAAAGGATTTTGAACCCCATAAGATGCGAGCTTACCTATAAGAAGTTGGTGGCTAACCATGTCAAAGGCTTTAGAAATG